GATGGATAGATGGATGGATGGATAAATAGATGGATAGATGTGATTTATGATATAATGGAAAAAACGTCTGGTAAATCTGAATTTACGACATGAATATTATAAGTAAATCAATTAACTATTCTTTATTTAGTATCTGTCTATCTCTTATATTATAATAATCCTTTTTTGTTAAATGATCGAATTTACTGTAGATAGATATATATTAGTAAGATAGATACATAATAAATGAGAAATTAGTTGGGGGTTGTTATTATCCTAGTGAAGATTTAATTATGAGGTGGTCAAACCAAAACGTGACATTCATGGTTGAAATCACTAACTTGTAGTTTGAGCCATGTTGGCTGGTATATGCAGACTATTTGATTGAGGTTCACGTGACTATCTTAATCAATGGTTGAGGATTCTGGGTGATATGGCTCAAAATCGATCACAATGTCGAATGTCTATACACTCTTTGTCTTCACAATTGATTGATCACTGTGTGATGATAATTGTCAAGTCCTTCTTAGCGCAGATCGAATCCTCTTGAGCCCGAAACCCGGGTCCAGGGTTTCCTGTTGACTACCTCCAACCACCACCTTATGTCAACATAGTGCACGCAATGTCGAATCACCTTGACTAGTGACCACATTGCAACTTGATCGATAGCATTCGATCTGCACTAAGAAGGACTTGACACACATGACATTGATCACCACCCAGTGATCAATCAATTGTGATTAAATCTCAGTCCTACAGGTGTTCGGTCGCGGCCCGGATAGCCCAATGGTAACGTCTCTGACTGCGAAGCTCAGTGACACGAGATGGAATCCGTCAAGGAGTACTAGTTCCCTCAAGATTACAGGTACATCTTACTGACGAGTGCATAGCAGCACGAAACCTAGGTCGAGGATTTTCTGTTGACTACCTCCAACCACCATCTAACGCTTTATCTTCCTTTAAACTAAGACATTAAAATCACTTCATATCTTTCTTTCTACGAACTAATTCTTTCTTCTTGTGTTATAACCTTATATGCAATCTTTCTTTTATATATTACCACCACTGAATTAACGACTTCTATGAATCGGGTTTTCATCTTGTTGTGCTAATGTGGTGAAGTATGGCAACTTGAACTGACGCATATATGTGCCTGGTTCTACGTTGTAGCTGACTGACTGAACTTCTGAGAGCTATTAATGAATTTATATATATATATTCTTGTATATTCATATTTCTCTTATTATGAGCTTCATTTTAATCTATAGATCATTATTATTCGATTTACTATTCCTAAGTTATGTTCAGTTTATTAATTACCGTCACCCCACATTCACAGTCACTTTTTGGCTTGATCTTGTATCGATGTTATTTTCTATTTTATGGTGTGATGTAGTCTTTTTGGCTGATATATAAACCAAGTATGTTTGAAATACATGAATTGCATAGTAGAAGCTGTTATTGGCGTTTTGGACTCAAGTGGATGGGGCTAGGCGAACAAAAGACCAATAAGAACGGTAGGCCGCTCATATAGACCCAAAGTCATTGGTTTAGTACAGTAATAAGATTGAATAAGTCGTATTTTGATTGGCAAATAAATCACGTAATAAAAAGACGGGTTTAAAGACACAACAGGGACGATTGTTTGTGTTACAGACCGTCTTAGTAAAATATAAGAAATATACATCGTATACTTCATTTGTAAAATTTCATCATTTGTCCTTCATATTCTTTATGATTTATCCAATTCATAATTCGTTTCTATTTTCTCTTCTATTCTCTTCAATTTGATCTTCTTGGCCTTTTATTGCTAAGTTTTTCATTTCCAGTTGATGTTACATACTACTTATGTCTGTTAACGGACATAAGTAGTATACATCGCAGAAATAGTTTGTTGAAATTTACCATTGTGATATCATATGATTCAAGTTTAGGTCAATGGTATACTTTTGAGATCGCGCTAATCAAGATTGAAAAAGTGACTTTAAGGTTTTTTACACGAAATTCAATTTCTTTATAATAACAAACAGTAAAATTATCATGTAAGTGTAAGTCTGAAAACTTTCAAAATGATAATAAGAAATGATGTATGATAGTATTAAACTTAATGATGCATACATCTGGCTTCGTGCTGAACTGTATGTATCCTGGCTTAGTGGTAATTACCCTAGGCTTCTCTATAGATAATTTACAAGGCAATTTACACTATCCCAAAATCCTGATGATATAACATTTTATGATTGAACTAATCAGAGAATGATTCTTGTATTTTTTTTGAGTGAAATTTATACAACACTCAGAACAATTTGACATTATAATTGATGTTAATGAGTGATTAAAATCCCTAAGCTTTATCTTAAACACCTAACCCTAGTTAGAAACAATACCACGAATGCACACACAACAGACTATGAATGAAGCAATGATTGTTGTACAATCTTGCTATGATGAAAGATGTTTTGGCTGGAGATATGGTTGACTTTCACCAAACAAACGATAACTCATCTCGAATTCTTTCCACAAGTATGAAACGAGATCAGTTAGAATGTTTATCTTCAAACACTTTATTGACTTCTAAAACACAGCTAACTAACAACCGTATTTCACTGATGTTCACAAAATCTATTCGAGTTGAACAACTTGTGATCATTTGAAGCTTCATAAAACAACAGAACATTTCATCAAACATCGGATGAAATTAAAAGTCCGTTTACAAATGACCGATTTCCCATCTCTCTATCTATATCCATAAGTACAAGTTTATATGTCATCATTTCTTTTTTCGATCTAGAAACAGAGTAGCCTATTTATGAATAATAGAATGAAGTAAAATCGGTTTGCGATTTGCAATATTAGTGTTTCCTTTTTCCATGGACTATCCATTAATAAACGGATTTTTTTCTGAATGGTTAAAAATAACTAACTAACTAACTAATTTACTTACTTGCGCCTGTTACTCCCAATGGAGCATAGGCCGCCGACCAGCATTCTCCAAACCACTCTATCCTAGGCCTTTTTTTCTTGCTCCATCCAATTCTTGTTCATTTGCCTCATGTCTATTTCCATTTCTCGGTGTAATATGTTCTTTGGTCTTCCTGTTCTCTTTTCGCCTTATGGATTCCATGTGAGGACTTGCCTTGTGACGCAGTTGGGTGCTTTCCTCAATGTGTGTCCTATCCACTTCCATTGCTTCTTCTTGATTTCCTCCTTCACTGGAATTTGGTTTGTTCTCTCCCACAGTAAGTTGTTGCTGATAGTGTCTGGATAACTTCTCCTGGAGCCCATCTGAGGTTACTACCGGTCCCAAGCCCGAATAAAGGAGGAGGGTTGGGCATGGGGTAAGCGACACCATCCCGTAGGAAACTAACTTGCTAAAAAACGCTAACCACAAAAAATTATTTAAATTATTAAAATTCTGCCTTGGGAGTCAGACGGTCTTCATTTAGAAGTGTTATGACGCCTCGTGATAAAAACCGAGTTCCTTCGGAAGTCACGAAGCTCATGCCCCTTTGACAATCAGAGCAACCATTTATTTAGGTACATAGAATGGTCTTGCAATGTGGGAGACTGGGATAGTGTCTTCCAAATTGCTGCAGAAATAAGGAACTACAACCTGGAGGTGGTTGGGAATGGTTAAGAACTTTTTGGAAATTGATTGCAGTTGTTTTAAATTCATCCCTAACATATAATTTTATACAAATTTGTACCTGATATTTAAAAGTGAATAATGTCTAATGGATAATGATAGAACATGACAATTGATCTAAACTAGTTCAATATTTTGATCTTATAGGTTTAGATAGATTGAAACACAAAATCAATCATGTGTCTTATATCAAGGTACACATGATTATTGATATTCATTAAAACGACACATCTAAAACTTCTATAAGTCTTTTTTTAGGTCAAATAGTTTCGTATTACAGGAAGCTGTTGTCAATTTCTCTCTCTCTTATTATCTAAATTGAATATGTGGATAAGTTACCAGATGGTAAATAATTACTGGGATGTAATCTTAACTACTGATCTATAGTCTATCATCTAATGCATGTACTATATCTACTAAAGCAAGCGATATAACGTAGCGTTAAACTTCAATTTGATATTAGTTTATTAATTCAGTAGCCAAGAATCTATGAATTTAAAACTGTAGAGCTTCATAATGGTGATTATGATATAAACCAATTTCTTAATTTAAATGGACTAATTTGTATATGGTAAATTCTGAATAAATAATTTTTGTGAGAAAAGTCCACGGGTGAACTCGAGGAGACTTGAACAAGCTCAGAAAGAGCCGAAGATATTCCATCCAATCATCTTTTGGAAGAATATTCCAGAATTCCTACTTGTAACTTCCCTATTGGACAGATGCTAATAACCCCCTGTGTGTGTGTGAATTGATTAACTACAATGAGAATTTCGTTTTTACTCAGAACTATAAATACATGACAGTTTTGTACCATAACTGACACTATTTGGAATAACATTCCTTTCATTTGTCTTCTATCTTCTCATTTTCAACTTGACAGTGTTCTAGCGTTCGAGTGCTCAAATTATACGCGGCATATTTCGAATCTAAACTCTAGATATAACATTTTTATTCATTGAAAGTAAGAGAGAGTGGTGTTGAGTCGACTTTTGAAAAACTTCAACGGAGCCTCCAGAGGCCCAAAAGGAACCGAAGAGTCCTAGCCAATCAGAGCATGATGAAGCATTCTAGAATTCCAACGTGGCGTGCTACTATTGGTCAGTAGCATAATATATCGCTAACGGATTGGTCGAAATATGATGTTCATTTAACAAACGTTAACATCTGTAAATACCCATATTTTCTGTACAATAACGAGCCTTGGAGTAAAGTGTCTCTCTCATACTTTTGCGTTTTCTTTCTGGTGTTCAGGTCGCTGTATAGTTCTAGCGTGCGAGTTATCAGAATAGATTAGGAACGAATATAGCGTCCAATCGACAAGGCTTAACAAGTGGGCTAATTTCACTGATATCTTTTATGCCTTTTTTTTCAGCAGACAAAACAAGAATTTCACTTTCAGAAGATGATGAAAAAGAAACTGGATTTATTGAATTGATTAGTAAATCTTTACCACCTTGTAAATTAATCCAAGGACAAAGACAACAACAACAACAACAGCGACAACAACAACAGAATGAATCTATCATTGAAATAAATTCAGATAAGGAATTAGAATCAATAATTCAATTAATGAATGAAACATTCCAAGATAATCACTTATCTAATTCAATACAAAATAAAATGAATCCATATGATAAACAATACACTTCAAAGGATACATGTAAACAGTTGAATATTACCATGAATAATAATAATAATAATCAACTAATGAAACAAACACGAACATTTCTATCAAAACCATATCAACAAGACAGTCAATTCATCAGAAACAATCAACCATATTTTAAACAAACGAATGAACAAGAACAATATGATCATATTAATACTCATTATTATTATGATGAGGATGAGGATGAGGATGACGAGGATGATGATCAGTTTTATCCAAGTAGTAATTGTCAAAATGAACAAGATGAACAATGGAATGATACAATCGATCATGACTGTCATAAGTCAAATATAACAGAAGTACATTTAGAAAAAGAAAAAGAAGAAGAAGAAGAACAGTTACTAAGTGATTTATTTTTCATAAGTAATTAACTATTTATATAATAAAAAGAAAACTTTGAGTACGAACAACATATGTGTGTATGTTTTCTTTTATTCTTTCTGTTTCCAATACTTATTGAATAAGAAGAAGAAGAAAAAACAAAGAAAATGATTATGATAATTTTTCCATTTGATTTGTAAATCATAAGTCAAAGTATATCATACGATTAAAATGTAACAACAATAAACAGTGTGAAGCCATGATTAGGGGTATCCACTCGATATCAGGTAGTGATAGGTATCTTATTGATTATTATTATTATTATTTGAACACATAAATACTAGTACAAGGGGGGGGGGCACCAAATACATATGCGCCACACAAATCTCATTTGATTTGTGTGAAGGCTGGGATACTGCCCAGATGCTTAAACCGAAGCAGGTGGTTTTCTTAAAGGACCACATGCAAAACCTTTAACCTAAACGTCTGATCCACAAGGCGGTGGAGCATCGTAAGGAGATGCTGTCCCATGATAGCCGGTGACCAACAATTGGTTCATACGCCATTTGTTCCCTTAGGATTCTGGATCAGGGTTTTTCAAGTACCGTAGGTGGACTCTCCAAATCCACCAACCCGGTTAAAGCTCCTATCGAACATTAGCTTTTCGTCCTTTCAATTTAGCAAGATCATGGATTGATTAAAGTTAGACATCAACACCATCGGATACTGACTCAATGATCTAGAGGTTAAGCATCTGAGCGCGAGACTAAAGGTTCATAGTTTAAGGGCAGCGTGAGGAGTCTTAGATGTGCACTGATGAGGAGTTACATAGTAGGATGAGACGGCTATCCAGTGCTTAGATCGACTTATGAATACAACTATTAAGATAATGATTATTTCAATATAATCATTTTAATTAACTGAATATGTGTGAGAATAATCAATCTTACTCAATCTTCAATAAAAGTTCAGTATCGTGCTTTTTTTTAAAAAAATCCATCCATTGAATGGATAAGTGTTGGATGTAAGGACGTGATTTTCACTGGAAATTTGATTGCAATTACCTAAAACTGCTCATATATGTGGATGTGTCGCTCAATTTCGTGGATTACTTGAAGTTAGACATTAACACCATTGGATTCCAGACAGCTCAGTGGTCTAGAGGTTAAGTGTTCGCTCGCGAGACTGATATGTTCTGAGTTGGAATCTCGTGCGGCGGGACCGTGGACGCTCACTGTTGAGGAGTTTCACAGCAGGACGAAACGGCTATCCAGTGCTTCCAAGTTTTCCATTACGGTCTAGCTTCAATTGACTCAGTTGATCTCAGCTATTGAAATTACTAATAACATCCACAAAAATCCCTTCTTATATTGAATTGTTAATCAGTTGAGAAGAGAAAAATCCAATCAAGATAGTTGATAAATTGAATAATCTGTTAACTCTAAGCTAATAAACTTTGTCATAATCTTATACACCATTTTATTGGGGGTGGGGGTGGGCTAAGTGAAATTCAAAAAAGTAACATTGAAATCTTGATCAACTTCCATAGAGACAAGTATTTGATAAGGAATTACCCTAAATAAGTTAAAACACTGTGTTATTTAATAATAATCAATCAGCTAGAGGTAAATTCAAAAGAATCTTGTTACGTCATGTTTATGATTCTGAACATCAATTGAATTTAATAATCGATAAATTGATTGCAAAACATTAGATTACTAGGGAATTGAAGTTGGATTTCGAACTACGATTACAATTGAGTTTCGATTTGGTTTAAGATTAAGAGTATGATTCAAGTTAATATTAAGTATAGAATAAAAAATAATGTAACGGATAAACTAACCCTAAATTCTAACCGTCAACATCGTTTTTAAGCCACACTCTAGCGATTAGGTACCTAGAAATGCTCAATAACCCTGTAGTGATCATATATGTATATCCTTCATGACCTGTTTAATTTCACATTGTAACTTATTGATTCATAATTACAGCTTCCAGATTGGCTAAAACATATTAGACCCTCCAGGTGATCCGGTAATATATGTTAGCTTTTTCCCGCGAACATTGTTGCTACATTGATGTAGTGATCGGGCTTGCCAATCGGGATGATCCAATAGAGCTATACTGGCCGGAACAACTGTTCCTCATGATCCTAACAATTACTGAGATTAATCACAAAAAGGTCGTGTGTGACCGACCTCAAGCAGTTGTCCCAAGAGCACTGCGGTCACGATCTCAGGTTAATATGACTACCTCTAATCCAGTTTCCTTTTCAGGTACCTCCAGAAGAACCTTTCCACAGTGTGGTTAACCGGGAAGTGATAACCGCCCTCATACCGCTAACAGCACTCAAGACCACTATACTCATAACCAACCTCACTCTTCAGTTCTTATTATTCCTCCTAGGTCGACTTTCAACTCTAAACTTCCTCTTTTGACACCCCACTCAAATGTCACCATGACCGAGGATTCTAGTGCGCGAAACAATGTCACACGTCTACTGAGACCTCGCTCCAAACTACACATTGAAAAGGCTCAATCGAAGACTTGCACTCGTTCTGGATTACATATTTACACTCTAATCATCCTCTAACATGAACACGCATTTGCTTTCACCTCACTGAACGCAGAAAAACCACATTAAGACCCATTAGAGTGAAACCCAGCGATAAGAAAGCCGAAAACAAATTCCATGAACAAATGAGGTCACACCCAAGCTGTTCTAAAAACGAGGCTGACCCAGATGTTGCGTGAAATGATATACAAACAGTTGTAGAAACAGCACCCACATCTACTAGTGATTTGAATCAAAGGGTTACGAAAAATCAGTGCATTTCTACTAAGTCCATTGAACGCGTAGATTCACGTAAACTCATCACCCATCATGCTCCAAGCACGATGAAGAGCGAAAACAAATCACATCTACCTAAACCAAAAGTTACAGAACAATAGTGAGCAGTGGTGGGCAACGAAAGCAAAAATGATGGAAAAGACAGTGGCTGCACGTAACACTGGACAGCTTTGCAGACTAATAAGACAAACCGTAATAAAAAAATAAGTGTAAATCAGACAATTTCGAAAAAAGGATCACACTTATCTACTCTCAATTCAGACGGTTAAAACGATGGGAGGAACACTTTAAGAAGCAGTTCAGCTGGTCTTCAGATACTCTACAACTACAACTATCCACCATTTTCAAACAGTCTGAATGGAACATTGAAATAGACACTCGGAATTTAATTAAATTTCAAAAAGCTATAACCAATCTGAAACGAGGAAAAGTAGCTGGTCCAGATAGATTAACTCCAAAAGTCTTTAAGGATGGTGGTCCAGTTTTAGCGATTAGCTTGATTAATATTTTAGCTAAAATCTGGACATTGGACGTTATCTCATCTGACTAATCACAATCACTGATCGTCCAATTATATAAGAAGGGGTCAAAATCATCCTGTGACAACCATAGAGGGATTAGTTTAACTGGTATAATATCTAAAATACGAGCCTCGATAATTATCAGACACCTAACTAAGACTCGTGAACTGCAAATATGAGAAAACCAAACTGGCTTCAGACCTGGTTGTCACAGCATCGAGCACACATTCACCATTCTTCAGGTTCTAGAACACAGACATACTTATCGGCGTCCAACAATGGTGGTCTCTCTTGACTTAAAAGCAGCACTTGACTTCGTAGACCGCGAGATTCTGTGGCAGTGTCAGTCATTGAAAGGCGTACCTGAGAATTACATAAACCTTGTGAAGGCTCTTTACTCGGACACTACCAGTCGTGTCAGAACTGATGGCGAACTGTCATCTGATTTTGCAACTTCAAGTGGTATCGGACAGGGCTGTCTGCTATCTTCATTTCTATTTAATCTCATCCTAAACGTACTGATGGAAATAACGCTTTTGTGGACTGAATTTTCGGGCATTGTTGTCCTACAAGGATGTCTACTTATCGACTTGGAATACGCAGATGACATTGTCCTGTTTGGTGAAGACTCTAATAAAATGCAGCGTCTTTTGGTAGCACTAAGCAACAATGCCAGAATGTTATGGATGCGCTTATGTCCCTTTAAATGCAAGTCGTTGCTTCAGGACTGGTCTGCGTCAACACCTGAACTAAAGATAAAAAGAGTGAAGTAGTCGAACGCGTTGACAACTTCACTTATCTTGGAAGTCTGATCAGCCCTTATGGGTTGGTGCCTGACAAAATCTCAGCACGGATTCGAAAAGCTCGTTTGGCTTTTGCCAACTTACGTCACCTATGGCAAAAGTAAGATATCCATCTGTCAATAAAAGGACGAGTATACTGCGTGGCAGTCCGTTCTGTTTTAATTTATGGCAGTGAAACATGGCCATTAAGAGTAGAGGATATTCGTAAGCTACTAGTATTTGACCACAGATGCCTCAGAAATATTGCTGGGGTCTGCTGAGATCACCGGGTAAGTAATAGTGAGGTTAGACGCAGGTTATTAGGGAATGATGGTTAATCAGTAGATGAGGTTGTGAATCTTCATCGACTGAGTTGGTTTGAGCCACGTGTTGCGTATGCCTGAACACCGATTACCACGATGCTCAATGCTGACTAGTGTTTGAAACAGATGGAAGAAAGGTAGAGGCGGCCAAACCAAAACGTGGCATCAGCCATTGAAGTCACTAACTTGCAGTCTGAACCATGTTGTTGGTAGATGCAGACTACTTGGTTGGGGTCCGCGTGACTATCGTAACCAACGGTTGGAGACTCTTGGTGACATGGCTCAGAATCGATCACAATGGCGTCGGTGTATACACTCTCTATCTTCCCTTAAACTAAGAGATTAAAATCACTTCATATCTTTCTTTCTACCAACTAATTCTTTTTTTCTTCTACTATATCCTTAAAAATAATCTTCATTTTATATATTACTACCATTGAATTAACTACTTCTATGAATCGGGTGTTTATCTTGTTGTGCTAATGTGGTGAGGTATGGCAACTTGGACCGATCCACATATATGCCTGGTCCTACATTGTCGCTGACTTAGCTTTACCCTTTATTCAAATAATAATAATAATAATAATAATAATAATAATAATAATAATAATAATAATAATAATAATATTTTTTATACTTGACTGTCATTTATTTAATCCAAAAAAAATCACTAAGACATTTT